CCCCCCCCCCCCCCCCCCCCCCCACCCCCCCGGCACACGCACACAGACACACGGATAAGCAGGAGAGACAAGGTTGTGCAAGGAATACCAGTGTGAACGATATACAGAAAACCAATGTTGAGAAATCACACAGATGTCCAGGTAGTCGTATCCAAGCAGAGAGAACAATATGCACCGAGAAACCATCCACATAGAGCAATACAATGAAATAATGAGCCAATGTTCAAGCCCGTAGGCCACACCAACACAGTATCCAAAGTCGCTCCTCTCTGTCTGGCGCCCAGCGCCCAACCTACTCTGCCCGACTATCCTACCTACAGCTGGTTCACGCAACAGGCTCACTTCGACTCTCGAAGACCAATGTACATGACTGTCAACTCCATAGCCGACCTCTCTTCATGCACCAGGTACGTATCTTGTCACCCTCAATCAGACATTGATTACCCCACACTGCGCCTCCTTCCCTGAAGACCACCAGATCACCCGCTGTACAACCTGGCGCCCAGCAGCCCGGCTATGGCTGCCTGCACCCCGCTGCCCTGCAGCACCCCACTTCACCACTACGCGCCCTTGGCAGCAGCGCACCATCAAGCGATAGCACAGCAGCACTTCCGCATTGCCTGCACTGGCCAGAATGCCTGACCTGGACTGCCCTACTCCTTTTGTGGAAGTGGCAACCTCCTGGATGCTGCGTGTGGCCTGGCTGGAAGCTTCCAGTAGCTTCCGGTTGGGCCTCAGACCCTTGACGCATGCCCAATGGGACCATGCGCAGGGAGCCAAGGATCCACTATGTGATGAAAAGGACTGAAATGGACAATGCGAGGTCAGCGTAGCATCAACAAGCAATGTACATTCCGAATAGATACAAGATGGAACAGAATGGCGCAGTGGAAGACTTACAGAGAAGATCTGATCTGATCTGGACTGACCCGACATCCATCACACATCACACATGAGAGAGAGGGAGGAGGGACCGCAATCATGGAAGAAAGGTCCCTCCTTCGCACACATACATGGGGAGATACCACGGATGAGAGATGGGGGAGGGACGAGACGAGGAGGAAGGAGGCGAGGGAGTAGACCAAGATCGCAATAGCGAAGTCCCAAAAATAGTCCCTTGTCGAGTGTTCAATCAATGTCTGTCCCAGAAATGTCGAATCAGATCCTGGGCAATGCGCCCAGTGTAACCTCTGCCTGAATCCCTACTGATAACCTCTCACACTCTCAGATTCGAAGAAGAAGATGAGAAAGAGGAGGAAGGAGGGAGAAGGAGGAGAGAGAGAGAGAGAGAGATGGAGGAGGGAAAGAAGAAGATGAAGTCCTCCTCGCTATCTCACCTGCAGGTCGCTGCCACCATACTGACTGTGTCCGTCGTCGTGTGCAGGTACCACGTGGAGCCCAGCTATGGCGCCAGGTAAGCTCGCCGACTGCAGGTATGGCCTCCGCCACTCCCTATCTCCTCTATCTCTCTACTCTCTACTCCGCAGCCTAGCGCAGCATAGCGCTCTCCTCACCAGCAGCGTGTCGCCCAGAAGTGAGCTACTCGAACTGTCCTGGTACCCAGCGTGAGGCCCAGCTATATACTGCGCTGGGCCCGACTGGGTAGGCTGCTGTGTGGCCTAGAACGGCCCAGCTGGTCTGGGTCCCTACCGGACGTCCAGACCCTGCTGCCGATGCAGCGTGGCGCAGAAATGCGCCTGGCCTCAAAACGGCCTCCTACCTGTGCACCTGGCCCAAGGTGTCATCTTGGGTCCTGCAGGACCGAAACGACGCCTGTTACCGGTTTGGCGCCAAAATGCGCCTGGCCTCGTTTCGGGCCTGCCTCCGGTGTACCCAGTCCCAAGGTCCGGCCTTTGGGGCTGCCAGTCCGAAACGGCCCCTGAACAGACAAAAATAAGACAGCACACACACACACAAAAAAGGTAAGTAAAATAAAACCTATCTACCTAGTGTGCTGCCTAGGGCCTGGAGGGCCGCCGTGGGCCTCCAGGGCGCGTGCTGGATGGTACGCGGCCTGGGGGCCCCTCAGCAACCGTCGGGCCCTTCAAACGGGGCCCGTGTGCAGGCGCAGCATGTAACACCCTGCGCCCAGGCCCGAGACTACAGTTGAGGGCCTGGGCCCTTTTCAGTTGGGCACGGCTTGAGTCTCCGGACTTGGGCTGTTTGCTGCATCTGTGCAGCGGCCCCAGGTAGGTGCGTCAGCAGTTCTGCTTTTCCAAAGGCCGATGGCTTGCTTCCCAATGTATCGGCCCTGCTTTGCGTGTATGTGCCCAGGCGCAACTGTCAAGGCCTGGGCCAACTGTACGGCGCAGCTTAGTACGGCTCACGCGTCTGCCCAACCAACTGGCGTGCTGCGAGAGCCTGAATACCCACATATGGAAATGTCGAAATTTGGCCTTCGAAGAATATTCAGGCCCGCCATCACTTAGGGCGGGCACTCGGCTTGCTGGGGCCTTAGCCCAGAACATGTGATGTCTGACAGGGAAGGCGAGCAAAAAAAGAAGAAGACCCCTCCGGGAGAACACGGAAGACCCCTGGGAAGAAACGCAGTGGGAAACTTGCAGCGCGAGCAGATGAGTTGTAAGCAGTTCATCTGTGTTCATCCTCGTCCCCACTGATTTAGCATTTTTCTTCTTCTTTTTCGCTTTTCGTTTTTCATTTTTCTTTTTTCTTTTTTCTTTTTTCTTCTTTTCTTCTCTCCTTGTCTTTTCTTCTTTTTTTCTCTTTTCTTTTTTCTTTTTTTTCTCTTTTTCCTTTTCTTTTTCTTTTTCTTTTTCTCTCTCTTTTTCTTCCTTTTTTTCCTTTTGTCTTTTATCCATTTTTTGCATTCATTTTCTTTACGATTCACGCTTTCGGCCACAGTTACCGTTTTTCTCTCTCTTTCTTTTTTTTCTTTTCTTTTCTTTTYTTTTYTTCTCTCTCTCTCTCTCTCTCTCTCTCTCTCTCTCTCTCTCTCTCTCTCTCTCTCTCTCTCTCTCTCTCTCTTTTYTTTTYTTTTCCTTTCTTCCCTTTCTTTTCTTTTCATTCTCTCCCCCCTTCTAGAGAAGCCAGTGAAGCCTGGAATTGATAACAACGGCGGTTGAGTGGGATAGAACCCTCAAGTGGACAATTTGCAAACCTAAAGAACAAGGGCCAGAATAATAACAAACCAATGGCCACCGAGCAGTGCACCCATTTTTTGAAGATGTACAGTTCCTGTAAATTGCTTCTACGATTCCATTTTTTTCGGAGGTTGCCGAAGGACACGTCGGTTCACACCCTCGTTTCGTGTCGCTTCAAAGGAAAGCCGTGCCAGTTGTGGGCGTCATCTAGAAAACGAGCTAAGACCTGATTTTGAATTTTCCATCTCGGAAAACGATGAAGTAGAGAACAGTGATGCTGGAATAAAAGGAACGAACAGTGACAATAATGAACCAATCAAGCAAGCAAATCGGAAGTGAAGCAGCTCTGTGCGTGAACTTGCAAAGGCGACGCGCGGGTGGAGCCAGTCGGAGCAGCCTTCTGTGATGGATGTCGAGATCGACCTTGACCAACTGAAGGAGCAAGGGGACAACGAGGAAGTGGTATAATCCCATCGATCGCCATATGCTGATCAGCGGAAAGAATTTTGCACTGCAATAAGGCACTAAGTAAAGCAAGCATGCTAGCCATGAATGCATGTATCCCCGCTCATCTGCAATATTGTGATCGCAGCAGCAGCGGTGTGGCTTAGCAAAGAAGAGTCCATCTGGCTGAAACCGACCAAGGTCTCGTAAGGAGTTACGGCGTTCGCAATTCTATTTGCTGCACTCACACTCTCATTGGCACTTCGCTGCTGGAAGTGGAATCTCTGTCGCAGCGG